CATGAAAGCAGTCCGGGCAACGATCAAGTACGCAATGGCGACAGAGATTGGATCTTGACGAGTGACGAGGAACGACGAAAATTGGGCCAATCACAGTAGGGGAGCTCCACTAACACTACACAGCCTCAACCAGCAAATCCCGCTTTAGCTGCTGAAGATAGGACGCTGAACAGTTGGAGAACGCAGCCTCCAAGTCGATCTGCTAAAAACCAAGTAAGAGGCAACAGTTAGTGGCGTGAGAAAGGGGAAAAGAGGAAGACGGCTAGTAAGAGTTGATGGTTGAACGTCAAGGAATTGGATGTAGTTAGCGTGCCAAGGCCCTCTAGGCTTCGCGCCTCCGGGCGAAATAAATTCCATCCATCCATCCATCAGTTAGCCGTGCGGCGGAATGTCCCAACTCCCAACAGCCCGAGTCCCAAGAAACACAGTTGCGAAGTTTGTCGTTGTTTCTTTGGGGTTGATCTGATCTTATTGCTGACACCCGACCCACGATAAACCTTCATTCTGTCCGCCTTGCCGTGGTCAATCTGCTTCCCCCGGCTGCCCAATTCCTGACTTCCATCCTCTCTTATTCATTCCAATTCTCTTTCGCCTGATGGCCCAAAAGTAAAGTCCGAAAACCCAACGGAGGGTGTTATCAATGGCCGCAGCAACCGCCACACGCTCATCCGTCTCTCCGTCGCCCTATCGGGAAGGCGTCGAGCTCCGAATTCGAAAGCACGTCCCGCCGACGCCCTTTGGCGCTGGTTACGGACCATGTCCTCGGCGCAAAGTCGGGGTCGGGCCCGATGCCACGGATGTCGACCGCGTTGCTTTCGCCATGGACAATCCGCCCTTGGAGACGGAGCCCGCGGCCACCGAAGAGCACACCTTCACCATCACCGGCTCAAAAACCCTGAGACGTTTCCACGTCGACGGCGGCGGCGCTCACGTGGTCACGGGCTATTTCGACCGAGACAAGGGCGTCGTCTGCCTGGCCAAGATCTACGACGGCGTCTACTACCCGCTGGAGAACCAAGACTCCGGCTGGGACAGCATGACCCTGGCCGACGCCGACTATGCTATCGAGGCCTGGGCCTATGAAACCATGCAGCCTGTCCAAGGGGTTGGCGCCAAGCTCGTGCCCGAGTACTACGGCACTTGGACTTTCACGGTTGCCGACCGACCCAACCGCCGGCGCTGGGTCCGCATGCTCCTGCTCCAGCTGGTGCCCGGTGAGACCGTCTTGGCCAAGATCCTCAAGGCTACTAAGAACAACAGCGTCCAGCTCTCCCTATTGCCCGATCAGGACACTCGTCTCCGAGTCCTCAAAGACACCTTCGAGGCCGCCATCTCCATATGGTGGGAGGCCGAGGTTCTCCACGGAGACCTGTCACCGCGGAACGTCATGGTCCGGCCTGACGGTAGCGTGGTCCTGATCGATTTCAACCAAGCTGTCGTTTACCCGTTCCATTATCGGTCGCATCCGAAGCACAACAAGGATGCCCGCCCACTTCCTCACTCACCCATCGAGCGCCACTGGCCCTTTGCCCCCGGCACAGGAACCTTCGCGGATCCCGGAAATCAGGGGAATCAGTGGGCGAGTTGGGTCCCCCAAAGTTGGCTCCAAAACCCGGAATTGGCCGCCGAGTGGCTGTTGAAGACATGGGGAAGTCCTGCGCCAGGCAAATACGCGCCTTTGTCCGATTACTTTTTCAATCACCCCGCCCACGCGGAGAGGAGTAGGAAGCTGCAGGCAGCTCTGGAGAAGCTGGGTCGCGAACCCGCAAAGAAATAGGGATGAAGCAGCGTTAGATCGGTTTGCAATTCAAAGACGACGACCTCTTGTTCGGGAGGCGGAGCTATCAGCTTGCGTTCCTCATCAACAGACAGGATCCGCCCGTGAGGCCGCGTTACCCCTGACACCTGAACCTTTCTGCCACGTGCTCAACTTTCAGGGTCCATATCTGTTTGGGGCCGGTGTCCTTCTTGCAGGATATCGCCACCGAGGAGGGGACTAGTGTATAGTGTATGCGCCCACCTGGCTGACTCCAAACATCCCTTTCCTCATAAATACCGGTACTTGAGACTCCGCTTTGCGGCATTTCACCCCTGTTCGGCTGGCACGGCTGTGGGCCCCATCCACACCGGCAGACGGAGGCGAGATGTGGGGGTCGTGAGAGCCGGTTCCCGGCCGAACCGGAGCCGAGAGCAAAAATCGACTTGATCCCTTGACTCCACGGCCTGGGGATTGCTTCCACTGCAACCCCAACCCTGTCGTCAATATCAAGGCGTGACCGTGTTCGCTGAGGTCGAGATGAACGGGACGCATGTGGAGAAGCCCCTGAACAGGGCAGACGAGGTCGAGCATGTAAGTATTCGCCTGGTATCCACTCTCAGGAAAACGCTAATATGAGTTAGCTCATTGACGCTGTCAAAGCTCCTGTTGTTCCCTTCATCCGGGTTGCCGACGAGGCCGTGCCATCCAGGGCCGCGGGGGAGTTGCTCCCCAATAGCCAGGGACTTGTCCAAAATGCCCTCGTCAATGCCCGGAGACCCGAAAATCTGGTTCAAGAGCTGGCCTTGAGCCTGCCAAAAGGGGAAGGTCGCGGCGAACAGGGGTTGCTCGGGGCCATCCAGGATGTGCTCAACTACAGCGTCAACACGTGGGACCAGGGGTTCATGGACAAGCTGTACGCCAGCACCAACCCAGTGCGTGCTGCAACCCGCAATTATAGGTATTTGCTGATTTTGACTCACGTGTACTAGGAGTCTTCAGTACAGAGACGTTGGAGTGCTCTTTACTCGACGCCTACTCCCAGTTTGAGAAGCGCTTGGAAGAATTCCACAGGAAGATAACATCGAGGGGATTGACTCGATCAGCATCACCTCCGGTGCGCTTCCCTCAAACAGCTGCGGCGTTACGGATTTGTCGGTAGCAGCAGTCGGAGATGGCGATAGTTTTTGTCGTTAGACAGGAGGAGAACGAGCAGATTTTGGTCCGGTGGTAGCCTGAGATGTATACTTGGCATGGTAGTTGGGTAATTGGTTACCGTGGGAACATTTATCCGGTGGCTTTTTAACGCGATGGACTTGGGTATTATGTTCCTGGGACATGGGAGATGACGGCGGCTATCAGCAGTGCGATAATGCAAGAGCACCAGTTTGGCATTGGTTCGGCTGGTCTACACTCTTCCCCGCAATGGACCAACAGAGGATCTATTCATTTGCTCAACACCGGGATAGCCAATTTGAGCATCACGCACGACTGGGAAGGCGACGTGGAATGACGGGTCAGTAACCCCGGCAGCGGGAAAATGACGTGGAAAAAAAGGACGCCATTTGGGACCCTAAGGGAAATGACCCGGAAGAAATGGACTGGGAGAAAAAAGACATAGGAAGAACATGGCTGAGCTTGGGTTGGGTCATCGGTGAGGGGCCGGTTGTGGTTGGTTTGGAGGCGTTGGAAGTCCAACAGCCACGAGTCCACTTGATGGGAGCTTGCAACGGAGGTTTCAGGGTACACGGGGGCAGCCCAAAGTTGTCAGTTCAAGGCAGTAGTGATGGTGATGGTTACAGAGAAAATTGTTTCTTGTTCCAACTGGGTTTGAGCTTCCCAGATCCCGCAACATAGCAGCGTGTTGAGACCTCTGAGCACTCTTATCACCTTGTGCACTCGGAACCGTTTGTTCCACGCTCCTGAGACGACCACACCTTCCAAAAGGAGAATTGAAGGCGACCCTTTGTTCTCCGCATATTTCAACTAGACACCAGACCGTTTCATTATTGTAGTGATTTTTTGTCGAGATAATTTGAGTTCGAGATGTCCGTTCTTGCTTGCCCAATCCTCTACAGTGCGATGTGACCTCAACGTTTCTCTGTGGGAATCTTCAGTGGGCCACACCAACATTCTCTGTCCAGCAATCCTCGCGTCGCTTGCCGGCACATCTCACGTTTCGCTAGTGGTCATGTTGGATATTAATAGAGAATCTGGTGTCCGCCGGCTGAAGACCGGGGCAGTGTGGGGTCAAAGAGACTCCGGCGGACCCGATCGGATTGCGAAGTGAAGCCACCCCACTCTCCACTTTGGAGAGGCCCCACGCCGCGGCCCGTCCCGCACCGTCAAGGCCTTGAACGTCCACCATGCACTCCTTACCCCGCTCGCGAGACCTGGAAGCTCAGCCATTCGCGTGCGCAATGTGTTGCGTGGGACGCGCTGAGCAACTAAGAGCAACGACGTGGTGTCTTCTTGTCTTGCTAAGCTATGTGAAAGGAGGAAAATCTCCGCCTGGGAGATGCAGGTCAGAGGTGGGGCTGCCTGGAGTGCTCGGCCAAGTGGCCCACACAACAGTCACGGTTGTAGGCAAGCAGCCAGGGCCATGAGTGCGGATTGTGGTGGGCTGAATGGCAGTGGTGGTGGCAACAGCTTAGTGGATGAGGTGCTCTGTACGAAGTAGATTGGATTTTTGGATTGTGGAGGAACGTCGCGATCAGCTATACAAGGGGTTCTTCCTGAAAACTGTCAGACAGATGACAAGAAAATCCAGCGCTCCCAACAATTCAATTTTTCTTGGCAATCTTCCAATCCAATCAATCCAATCCAATTCAATAATGGATTTTTTGGGCTCAATTCAATCCAATTCGGACACTGTGATTGATTGACGAATTGTCAATTATTAGGCCTGATTTTTCCCTGTTTTGGACGCCCTGGAAAACCCTGGGGGGGGGAAATACTGCCCATCTAGCCGGAAAAACAGCCGGACCGGACGCGTCGTGGGTGCCCCCCTAGTTCGAGGAGCGTTGTATCGTGATGGTTCCCCTTGGTGTTGCGTCCCCGGGTCGAGCCCGACTGTTCTACTAGGCCATAGCTGCCTCCGAAGTACCGCTATGGCTGACCTCCCCGATTGCTCAGCCACGGCTTCTATTGCCAGCGATGCTCCGACCCTCCTATCGACTGCTTCTACCGCCGGAAACAGCGCATTCTCCCGCCTTCGCCGGGCCCGCAGCATTGCCTGTAACGGTCTCAGGTAGTATATTGCAACTAGCTGATGACGACTCTACGAGTACACTGAACTTGGAGAAGGAAAGAAGAGATGTGAGACTCTGGTAGCTGGGGAGCCAATTTATCCTCACAGGTGTGCGCTGCTAGAAAGTTCAACACTGTGGGTCGAGTGGGAATAGCACATCCAGGGGGTTTGGTGGACCCGTGCTTATACGAGAGCTGGCCGAGGGTCATCGAGGCCCATCTCGGGTCCAGCCCGTTACAACACTACCTCTATGGAGATGACTTCTACGATCCGCCCGAGGCTCTCCACGGCCTGGATGAGGTAGCAGCCTACCTTGGCGAGCCTGTTAGGCCGGTGGAAGATCCGTTGCAGTGGTGGTTGAGTAACCAGGAGCGATTTCCTAGGCTGTCAAAGATGGCGCTCGACTTGCTCTCTCTTCCACCCATGTCAACGGAGTGCGAGAGGACGTTCAGCCTTGCGAAACTGGACGTGGGAATGCAGAGGCACTCTACACAGGAGGATACAATATCCAAGCTCCAGTGCCTGAAGAATTGGCTGCGAAATAAAGGTCCTTCTTAGCAGGGTTGTAATCAGGAACCTGGATGTCTGGAGAGGGCCCAGTGACTCGGTCGGCTCGGAATAACCTCACCCGGGATCATGTGACGTTAATTGCAATTCTTCAATTCAATTCAATTCTGGGGCTTCAATCAATCAATTATTCAGAAAGGCCTCAATTCAATCCAATTATGAGGCTTGGATTGGATTGATTGGATTGTTGGGAGCGCTGAGAAAATCCGATCGATATCCTCGCGGCGGCAGCGAATACATGTACTTCATCAGAAGTAATCTCGAGCCTCTTTGTAGTATAATGTTTGGTGCGAATCCATCACGTCTAACCTATAAATGTTTCCAATAGCCCACCCACTTCACTAGATACTGTCGCCATTTCCACCTTGTAACTGCCATTGAACTACCTCGCACCCACCCCTTCCCCGAAACATCAGCCCCAGTCTATACCTCTGCCACGTGCGCCACGTGCGCCATCCAAACATCTCGGCTCTTAAATGTCCTTGCAGATCAGGCAACGGTGTCTCTCTCTTTACCGTGGTACCGCTCTGACCAGGTTGGTCGGAATCCTCCTCCCTCTTCCTCTTGCCTAACACTTTCCGCTCCCCCGAGAGCTCGGCCAACGTCCATCCATCGAACCCATGCACCTCCGCAAGATGGTCCATCCAGGCTGCCCGGCTTTCGATCATAATTACACTGCCGTCTTGCCTATGGCACTCGAAGCATGCAAAAGGCCCCCGAAAGAGATCCTTGTGCTCCTTGTTGAAATGTCGCGAAAAGCTGCTGCCCGGATAGAACATGTTTTCACAGACCAGGCAACGAGCAGATTCCGTTGTCGTAAGCTTTGGCTTGGCCGATCTGACTGGTCCCTGCTCCAGGCAGCTTTTGCTTGGCAGGCATGGCGCGAACATGATGCCGTGGCACCGCTCTACGTGGTTGCTCCATTGCTCAACCCCTTCCACCATGTACCTCTCTCTGCCCAAACGGTTGCACTCGGGGCATGGAAAAGGACGGTCGAATGCCCTCTTCATGTAATGGTCGTTCTGGTTGTGCCTTGTCAAGTTGCCGCGGTAGGGAAACACAGCACAACACAAGAGGCATGTGTATTGCACCGGCATTTGCTCAGCGGCATCATGAGAGCTCTTGCTCTCCTCCAATGAGTCGATCATGGCCTCCACCTCGGTATACCGGTTTCCCAAGTAAGCAAGAAGTAGCTGGGAGAAGTGTTGGGCTCGCCGCTTTCCTCCTAGATGTTGCTCACGGAGAAAACGGCCGATTCGTGTGGCGGCGCGGTCTGCCACTTCCGTCCGGGTACGCGGCTTCGACAAGAGCGCTGTTGGCGTTGACAGATCGCTGGTCGATTGTCCAAGGGCCCTTCGCCTATCTGCCTCCTTAAAGTACTCCACTCGCCTATGCTCTACCACGAGCTTGCGAAGGTCACTTCGGCGCTTTGCATACGCAGCAAAAGCTCGTTTTGCATCCGGGTGGCGGTCGCCTTTTTCGTCCCGTGCCGTCTCGTACTCTCGTTTCAGCCTTTGCATATCGCGACGCCGCTCCAGGCGCTGCGTATCTTCAACAGTCGGGTAGAGTGGAGCGTTCTCGTCCCTCCTGGCGGTCGCGCGTCGTAGCATTTTGTAGAGCTCCTCATGTGTCCCTGCCGCTTCTGGGTCGAAGACAATCGGCATGATCTCCTTTCGAATATGTTGAGGGAGGTATCTTTGTTGGAAGCCAGGCTCGGTGTTTGCCATGAAATGCGAGCGTAGCGCCGGCGTAAGGGGCCCTGAAGAGACTTGTGAGTCAAGAGGGAACAGACGTACTTGGAGTAAAACAGACCATCGAGTTTAGAACCAGCGCCTACACGGAGGGAATATAAACGCTGAGGATCTCGGTTGCCGGCGACTTGCCATAACTGATGTCATGTTCCCCAGTACTTGGGAGTGATTGATCGGAAATATCTCGTGGCCCAATAACTCCTCTTTCCAGGGGAGCTCTAAGGATTCGACATGCTCGAGGTTCGGACGGTCAAGCATCTCGCCGAGAGATCCAAAAGGGGTGGAGAAGGCAGTGTCGGAAATAGCTTTTGTTGAAATCAAGCTGACTAGACAGAGCATCTGGCAGGGAACAAGAATGCTGACACTTCAAGCGGAATCAGTATCCATGACCACAGGATCAAGTAAGCAAGGACATACGTTGAGTGCGCAATACCAGGCTTTTGCGAGCGTGGATCTGCTGTGTGACGCTTGTCGTGAACCACCGTGATAGTTGCAGCGAGCGTCATTTCACCCAGATGGTGGGGATCCCGGACGACAAAGAGGCGAAGATCCTTAACGTTATAGCAGATCCTCAATAGCGAACCCGGTCTGAATCCAAAGCCCGCAAGGATGAGTGTAAAGTGAAGCGAGGCACGGGATTCGGGTTGACAAGGAACGTCCTCAGCCCGCGTCCAGAGCGTATTGAGGAGCACCAGGAGGTCATCGGATGTAGTCTCGACCTTCTTGAAAGTAAGCTCGGATTCTCGTATCAGACCGTATTTCTCCGCAAGGTTCTTTCGAATGTACTATACCAGGGTTAGCTCGAAGGTGCTCGAAGGTGCTCAAAATTTTAAAGTTATAAACCGCCTAGTACCTACATTGCTAATGTCCGCCACGGGTCGATCAGTTTGCTTGCCTGGATCCCACCTCAACTTCCAGAGTCGAGAATTATCAGGGTCTTCCCGCCTCTTTTCTCTAAGAACCGTATTGTCTGCGTGCGCAACGAGATTCTTCCAATGTTCGATTACGGTGTTGGTGGTGGTAATCGTCTGAACAGTCTCGTACTCTTCTTCCCCGAGGCTCAGGCGGGATGTCCGTGAGTTTTCCACATAATCGCGGAAGTAAGATTGTATAGCATTCTTCGCTTCGACGTCGTCCCGGCATAGGGCGATCCATAGCTGGCCAAAGTCCCTCTTTTTGTAGGTCTCGATGAACCTACCAATCCGTATCAGTACCTGGGATAGCAAACCAATACGTCCCACCAGCCAATACTTACGCCCGCATGGACTGCCACGCACGAATTCGCTCTTCTTGAAGTTTGCGGCCCACCTCCCGCGTATCATCGAACTGAGCGCTGGAGAACAACTCGTCGTCTTCGTCCGCTCTTCGCTGTCGTTCGTTACGATCGTACAAACTGGCGGGTTCACTCAGAACAAAACCGTGTCTGCGAGGCATTTTCCTTCGTAACCCTAGACTGATACAAAATTTGTAGGTTCGGCTTTGTAAGATTGAGATGTTGGACGTTCCGGAAGGAATCGAGGAAGGTGCTGCGGCGCATTTTTTTTTATTTTTGAAGCGGCTGGGCCGCAGCCATGAAATAGGCACAGCAAGAGCAGCGACCAGCTCTGAAACAGGCACAGCAAGAGACGGCCATCCTAACAGTCGACGGCGGTGTTGACGCCGTTTTCCAGCGTTTCAAGCTCTCCCCTACTTAAACTAGCCCTTAAAAGCTTATGTCTTGGGGTACGAGCGGTCAGAAAACAGGGGGGTTTCGGGGTCCAAAAACAAGGGCCTCTTCGCCCCTGTTACGGATGTAGTGTCGTCCGTTTGAAGAAAACGGTGAAGCTGGCTGTGCCCTAGATCCGTTCAGGCTATGCAGCAGGCGCGACACAACAGCCAATCGAGCTCTGCTACCAGGCGGCCCCCCGCCCATCAGCCGCTGGCGCACGGGCCCTACTTTGGTGGCATTTGGAATGTTCAAGGTAAGGATGGTGTCGCCGGAAGCTGCCAGAGTATGCGTTCAAGAGGCCTGCCCCTTAATCAAAGACATATCGCTATCCGACTGCGCGAGCCTGGCAAATAGGATAGCGCTAGGCGATTGAGTAAATTCGTGTACTGCTTGGGGCAAAGACGAGTTGATAGAGGAGAGCAGGAGCGGGAGAGAGAACAAGAAAGACGTTGGCGCCAAGTTGAAGACCCCACCGCAGGATCGCATTTGGTGTTTCCGGTTGGACACGATATCTATCCGTTCGGATCCAACCCGGGTAAGCCCTGAATCCAGGTGATAAGGGTACGGCGGTGCCCTGCTCAAAAACCCAAAATCTTATTTGGCTCACCCCCACCGTAAATTTTTCATTTATCCTGATATCTGCATCCACCCGCTTCCTCAAATTTCATCACCCAAACCGATGGTTCTTTTCACAGCGCCACAGCTTCCCAGCCACAATCCATCCTCACGCACTTACCTACCAAATCGCATCTGTTCAGGCGGCTGATTACTTTTCCTGGTTTCATCAAAGCAGCTTACACCAATGAACATTTTTACTCCAAATCTACCACACTCATCTTGCTGCTGTCACATTCGGTTGTCTGCTGTCATGACGTTTGCTTTGTCTAAGTTCATCGAGGAGGCGAACACAATGGAGCTCAAGCAGGTTGACCGGGAGAAATTGAAAACTGCCCTCGAGTTAACAACTTGGATTGTGAACCAGCTGCATCAGAAGCGCTATAACAAGGTAGCCGCTTACCTAGCAACCCACCAAGTATGTCCA